CCGTTTGCGCAACTTGTCCACAACTTAAGTAGCGCATGTTTGCCGTGAGTGTTCATGATTCATGAGCTTCTTGTTTTAATTATTGATTGTTTTGGTTCTGTTCTCTTCTTCCACCTCTTCTGTCATGAAGATCTTGCACATTTCTCTTTGCTTCCATCGCTTTTCCATGTCAGTCACTGCGGCTTGAGCTGCCCTTCTCACAAAGCCAAGCTCATAGCTTTGCAAGTTCGCCAAGCTCGCACCATCCATAGCCACGCGTGATCCAGAGGGCATGGTAGATGAAGACCTTCATACATGTCTTCACTTGTAGTTCTGACCCTGGTTGGCTTTTTCGCTTTCCCGCAATTATTTCCTCATTCGTCGTAGTAGTGCAAGCCAGTGCGACATCGATTGCGCACGGCATCTTGACATTGTTCTTCAAACTCCTGGAGTGTGTTGGTCTTCCAGGACTCAGCTCCATGGGGTTGTTCGAGGCCACATCCAGCATACGCTTGAAAAAGACATTCTTGCCGAAATCGAGATGGGTTTTCTCGTTGTGGTCTCTGTCTTCTTGAAGCTACTGTTTCTTTGCGTCATCTCTCATGTTCAGGCGCTGTATAGTTGACCATTTTGTACACGGAGGTGCCATCCAAATGAAATGACGTCGAACTTGCTCCATGATCTCAAGAGATCCTTGGACTGCTTCGCGCTTCTCGAAGTCCCAATGAGGTAGTCCAAAAGGAGACATGTTTCACCCTCCATGACTCCAAAGTGGGTCAAGCCAGGAGGAATGGAGTAGATCCAGGAACCACCGCAGCCGTGATGGGCAAGATCTGGTTGGCAGCAGGGTCTGGTGACGAAAGAAGAAAGCTTCCACTTCCTCATTCTTTTGTCTTTGAAACTCTTCAAAGAACTCGGAACAGCGGCTGGGAATCTCGATCATCTCCTCATACTGGAATAATGTTGACCTCATAATACTAAATGGCCCGTGAATAGTACTAAATCTTTTCAAACATCAATATTAAATTGCCTTCAAATAGAACTAAATGTTTTCTGGACCTTGATTTTCAGCTGCTTCCAGACCTTGATTCACCCAAGTTGATTCTGAGCTTTCAGCTGATTCCAAAACCTGATTATGCTGTGGTTTCCTTTACTCTGGAATTTTGATTTGGCTGCTGCATGTTTCTTTTAAATTTGCTTATTTGGGCATTGCAATTTGCAACCTGAAATCAACCCACAAAGACCACCCCCCACAAGCAGCCCAAACCTTCAATTACTCAAGACCTCAAATCCGCCGACCCCACACCGTGGGGTGAGGCGTGACTGTCGATGTTAGCCTTAGCCTTAAGCCTTAGCCTTAGCCTTATCCTTAGCCTTAGACCTAGTCCTTAGCCTTAGACCTAGACCTTACCTCCCCTACCCCTCCGGACCCTTGTTGCAGTGACGAAATCCGGTTGGAATTCTCCGGGAAAGCGACCTGGATTGTCCAAGATTCTGCCATCCCAATTGATTTACATCTTGGGGCACCCTCTCGACCCGCGCGGGAAAATAAGCACGGTCCAAAATGGTCCTGGGCTCGAATCCCGGGCTGGTCGCGGCATGGTCCCGGCCAATGCCCTTGCTTTTTCGTAGATTTTGTCACGTTTTCTGTTGGTTTATGAGATTTTCAAAGGCTTTTCTGGCATTTTCCTAGGAATGCTCTAGGCTTTGTCTTTTTGGGTACCTGCTTTGGCGGTGCTGGGTTGGGTCTAAATTCTTGGGCAATGATATCCTTTATGGGGACGAGGGTTCAGCATTACGGGGTTCATGCAAGAGATGACGTCCGATGGTAAACCTGGGAGGTACCCAAAAAGTCGACTTTTTGGGTACCTGCTTTGGTGGTGAAGGGTTGGGTCTAAATTCTTGGGCAATGATCGGGGTTCATGCAAGAGCTGACGTCCGATGGTAAATCTGGGAGGTACCCAAAAAGTCGACTTTTTGGGTACCTGCTTTGGTGGTGCTGGGTTGGGTCTGCACTCTTAAGGCTAAGGCTAAGGCTTAAGGCTAAGGCTAACATAGAGCAAGGCTAGCGCTAAGGTTCTATCCCTTGGGGGTCGGCGGCTGCAGGCGGTAGCCTGGTAAATAGTACTAAACACTTTTGGCTGGTTCTTTTGGTGGTTTCCTTTACAAGTCCTTTAGGCTTCCTTTTGGTTGAAAAGCTTTAGCTTTATTGAAGGGCATCCTTTCTGGATTTCTGATTTGGCTGCTGCATGTTCCTTAGAAAATGCTTATTTGGGCATTGCAATTTCCAACCTGAAATCAACCCACAAAGACCACCCCCCACAAGCAGCCCAAACCTTCAATTACTCAAGACGTCAAAGGGTACTAAACACTTTTTGGCTGGTTCTTTTTGTGGTTTCCTTTACAAGTCCTTTAGGTTTCCTTTCCTTTCCTTTCATGTTCCTTTCATGTCTTTTCCTTTCAATTTCCTTTCATTGTCCTTTCAATTTCCTTTCATTGTCCTTTCAATTTCCTTTCCTTTCATTGTCCTTTCAAAGTCCCTTCTTTTCCTTTCCTTTCCTTTCCTTCAATCTCCTTTCCTTCCATGTCTAATTCAAATCAAGATTTTCTAGGATTTTTCTGGAAATCACATTATTTGGTGCCCACACTTGATCAGGGGGGGGGTGTATATTAATAAGAGGCCCACATTAGCTTGTCAAGGGGAGCAACCAATGGACGAAACGGTTCAGCAGCTCGTTGGACTGTTGGACTTCTTGGAGGTCGAGCTGCTCACATGCTTCCCATGCCGAATCTTTCAGCAACGACACCACCAGCAAAGCTCCTTCGACTTCAGCGTCTCTGGGTCTCCTCTTGCATTGCATTTGGAAGAGCTCCAAGCGACGGCGAAAGCTTCTGTAGGTCTTCTGTGAGAGACCGTCTGAGCTTGGCGCAGCTTTGGCCAGTCCAGAACCTAAGCCACGGTATGGCGGATCTGAACTTCCTCCGCCTTTTCCACCATTCGCTGTAGGTCTCGGCGGTGATGTAGGAGGCTCTGATTCTTCATCTCTTTCTTGTTGTCTTCCTCCTCCAGCTCCTTTTCCGCTCATGGTGCCTCGCCGTACACGATCTTTGAGAAGGTGTCAAGCTCAACTAAAGAGGTCGTCAAACAAAAAGTTCTCCCTCGTCGACGGCAGAGAGGATCGTGATGGGCTCCGCTACCAATGCAAATGGATGATGTAGCGCGCAAGGTCTAGGTCCAAGACAAAGTAGAAAGCAAGCGACAAAGCGCGGGCGAAAACCTGCAACCTTTTGCAGGCGAGTCGAAACCCAGACGGTTCAAGGGCCCTAGCTTCGATCAAAGAAGCAACGGTCACCGGCACTATTCGCTAAACTGTCGTGACCGAATGCTTCACGCAATGATCCGAGTGATTGGATCGACGCATTGTGAATTGGTTGAGGTGCTGTCATTGATCTTAGTTGCCCCTGCGCGCTGATCCTTGTGCATTGTTGGACATTGCTTGTTGAGCGTTGGTCGGTGTGAATCGGGATGGTGCAGTTCCAGTCTGGGATGGACAAGCAAAAGGTTGGAGAAGGTGTTGCGAGGAAGCGTGTTGGTTCGTGCGGCCACCAAGGTGAATCAACGACGACATCTTGCAACCCGTTTGATAGCGATGAGCTGGCCGAGTTTGATCATGATCGATCGAGGCGTGTTGGTCAGACGGTCGTTGCCGAACGCTGCAGCCACTATGACACAATACTTCGCCTTCAAGTTCCCGAATGAGAGCATTTCTTCGCTTTTGGTTCGTGAAACCTTGTCGCACGAGGAATTCCAGGAAGCTCTCATCAGGTGATCCTGCAGACCAAGACTTTGGCCTAGAGGCCATACTTCAGCGCAAAGAGAAAGATTGGGAATCTTGGCAGTGGTGTGAGAAGCATGATGTTGGCATGACTCCCCGTGCATCTCCGACAGCCAGTCCTTGGCGCTCTCGAGCCTTTGCTGCGTCAGCTGTGGCAGAAGGCGAGGAAGAGGAAGAGCCAAAGCCTCCCACGTCAGAGTACGATGAGCTGCCGCAGGACTCTCCTCATGCCTCAGAACCGGCAAGGTCAGGAGCTCCTGTTGGACCCAAGTCCACACTCAGCAAATGAAAGTTTACCCTCCAGATGGGCACCCTTTGAGGTCACCCGGCTAGTCCTTTTTTCTTGCATTTTTGAAATTGTTTTGATCATAGTTGATCATATTTAAGTATAAAAGTGGCACAAATAAGATCTAAAATGATTAGGAATCACTCAAATAAGAATAAAAATGACACAAATATGATTAGAAATGATTTTGAACAAAATTTCCCATCCACGAGTGGAGCCACGAGTGAAGTTGCAGTGAACTTGCAAACAAAATGGAAGTTCAACATTTCCTTTTACGATAAGTTGACAAGTCGAGCGACAAGTCAACTTACAAAACACAATGAAAGAAGTACTAAGTACAAACGGTTCCTTTACGATAATCGCTCCTGGCCTCGTTGAAAGTTTTTGAAACTAGTAAGTTTTGGCTGAAGAGCTCTGTGCTGGCAGGGATTGTGACAAAGTAAGGGTTTTGCAACTATTCAAGTATTGGCTCAAGGCATTGACAAGTATTTTTTTGAAAGTAGTCAAGTTTTAACTGTGCTGGCAGGGATTGTAAGATTATTGAATAGTAACTAGTAAGTACACTTTTTGCTGAACACAGTGCTGGCAGGGATTGATTCCAAACCCCAAAACACCTAAAAGGAAAGCACAGGGCAGAAACATGTAACATTGCTACATCTCGAGTGCCTTGAACATATACATATATAGCTGCATTGATTCTGTCCAGCTCCACGCAAGTTCATCATGGACGCCGAAATTCCAACACAACAAAATACTCCTGACACTGACACCCTGCTAGTGCGTTTAGAACATTCCGTCAACTGTCAAAGCACCTTGACCACATTTGAGTAGAATTTCTCGCACTTACTCAATATGGCTTGCATCAACACCATTGCTTGCAAACACCGTGGACAGCGCACTGGTCATTCAGTTCAGGCTTCGATGAGAGCCCACGAATCCTGACAGCTCCGAAGACATTTGCTTCATTGAACTTTTTAGCTCTATATGGCTTTTAGCATCCAGAACAACTTGCAACTGTAGAAAACTGTAGACTCTTATCAAAGGCACTATCAAAACTGGAACAAGACAAGAACATATTAAGTTTCCCTAAAGATCTGGGAACCGAATCATTAGTGCGAGCGCTTCTTCAAGCAAGCTCCCCCGCCGCCCTACAGAAGCTTGAAGGCTATCCTGCGTCCATATAGTACGTAAGCAGGTAGTCTCTACTTAATTGAGTAAGGAGGCAGGGCCACGTTCCAAACAAAACTAGACTCTATATAAACAAAACTAGATTCTTGTCATGCTGTATATAATCTCCTTGACTCTTTGTCACCCTTCACTTGGTCGTCTGGCTTTTGGGGCTTGGCCACCGTGCTGAGCATGCTGACCAAGAGGGAACTCATCCACGGATTGCCCCTCTGCCATTGAACTGCTTGATTCAGCTTTGGCTTCACTTTCTTTGACACAGGTACCATAAACATGAAACACACGAATCAAAAAGCTTTCCTCTCTCGCCACGAAAAAAACAACCCGAAGCTTCGAAAGCAGTTGCCAGCTGATTTGATCTGCAGTCACCCTCTAATTCACTTGAACATGGTTCGATCGGAGCTTGTGGGCCACCTTGAACCAATGGCTTGCAATGCCCTACAAATGTCAAATGTTGCTGGAAGCTTTGGCACATGCATCACAAATGCAGTAAGCAGATCCAGATTTGCACATCCCATCCTTTTGTACATTGCGCCCTTGCGGGGAGATCATTTGGCTTACTTGCGAGGCAATGCAACCAGGCTTTCGGACATGACTTTGCAACTGCCACGAAGCTCGGCTGAGCCTATTTACAAAAGCTCGATGACATCCAATGTGGCTTCAGACTTTCCGTTTTCGACCTTAAGTTCAAGACGTCAGGGCATTGCAGGGCCAACGGTGGTGGTCTATTTGCTGTGGCCACATTTGGAAATCTGGTACAATCTGAGACAAGTGGGCTGACGAAGCTTGCCACATGGACATGATCTTATTACAGTTTCACAGCTTGAATGCCAGCAAATCTCCTACTCGTTGAATTACAGTAGCTGAGTGGATAGCCATCTGGGTGACATAATCCTCAAGAAGTGGCTCGAAAAGAGGACGGAGGCGATGTGCTTTGCAGAAGTCATGGCACCTGATGGGTCAGGGCCAAAACACATCAGGAGCAACGCGAGGGCACTGCAGAGTTGCATGAATTCTGAGGCTGGAACGCTTCTTGTACAGTGTCATCGGTAGTGTACTCAAGAGATCCTGGCATTTGAGGTTGAAGTTTCATCCATGTGATCTAGAAACTCAAGAATGACTGCTCTCTTGGCGAGTGCAACATGCATGTTTTACCCAAAGGGTGTTTTGCACCACCTGAATGGTCATCAGTCACCAGAACATTCGATGCTCTGTCAATATCTTTCTATCCGTGTCACTCATTGGGCCTAAGTTCACATCAATCTTGACGATCGTCGTGGGACGGAAGGGCATCCAAATTCCTCACAGCTTCAATTCTGTTTCAGACTTCCACGTCTCGCCCACATGTCTGGCAGATTCAACATGATTGAACTCGTGCTGATGTACTTTCAGTCCTTCCAGTTGAATATCTTCTCCACCAGTGTCAATCTCCCACACCCAGTCTTTCCATTTAATCTAGCACGCCATGCTGCGCAGCTATAAACAACAAACCCAATGAACGAACCAAGCAGAAATGCTCAGAATTCTAAATGGATTGGGCTGCTGACAATCAGTTTTGAGTGTTGATGGCAGATGTCTCACACCTAAGAAAACATATGTGGTACCAAATAGTTTCGCGCATGGATGCCGCATGGATGCACAAATTATTTTGAAGAGAAACACGCGCTCTTGTGTGGCAAGGAGCTTAAAGTAGAACACACACACAGTGTGTAGGGTAAGTTCTTCCCTCTGAATCTTTTAATATGTACATGAGAGAGGGGGAGAAAGAAAGAGAGAGAGAGAGAGAGTCTACATGGTAGAGCCTGCATCTTCTACACAACATCACACTGTGTCTTGAACTCATGATTTGCCCATTTCTGCTCAAGACTGAGCGAGGTGTGGAATCACCTCCAACATCCTTTCCAAACCGGCCCTGCCCCAACCAGCTCAGCAACCCTTTCACTACCTTCAGAACCTTGCCCTGGAACCTGCTGCAAAACCTGCTCCCCAACAAGTTGCAGTGTATAAGCAAGTGATTCAAATACTACACAGTGATGTGGTGAAACATGATCCTACCCAACCCCCTCAAAGGTACTAGATATGTCAGTACGAAGTTCATCTTCTAAGTACTTAGAGTACCAAACAAGTGAGGTCTTCAACAGGTCTTTTTGGTTTGCCTGGCAAAGCCATTCTCTCTCTCTCTCTCTCCCTCCCTCCCTCCAGCGGACCTTTAGTTCCGGAGAACGACGGAGCAAGCCCACAGAGCCTGGCCTGAGAAAAAGTAGAAGAAAGTGACATACTCAGTGTAAGGTCTGGAAGCTCTACTTAGAAGCGCTACGGTAAAAAGCTTCCGTGTTCCATTCTGCTTTGGACTTCTAAAAAATCTTCTGGTCGCTTGCCAAAGATGCTGTGCAGTCTCCTTCGCTATCACCCGGTCCATCCATTCCTGCATCCTTCCATAACATCGCTCAAGTTGCAGTGTGAACTGTCCGTTTCACCTGGCACACGTAAAAGGCCTGCGACTTTCAGTGCGCGTGCTTGATGCCACTCTATTGGCCTCCAGCACTATGGACATTTTTGTATTGCTTCTCATATCATATATATTCAAAATTCATGTAACAGCAAGGCACCCTTTTGTCAGGATCACGTGCTTTTCAAAAACTTGTATATAAAACAAGTAACAACAGCCAGCTAGCGCTCTCTGTCTAGCTATGGCTGCCTCAGGCACTCTCATCAGCAAAACTTGCTGCGAGACTTACACAGACTTATGTATCTACCGGATCAAGATGGCACAAGGATCCCTGACTTGTGCCTCTCGTTCATCTCCTTCCCTGTTTTGCTCGACCTAGGCAGGGGCTGACATGGTGTCGATGACATGTGTGAGACATATGGTCTGACATTTCGCGCAGCGAGTGCATTTTCTTTGATTCTTTCGGCAATTCTTTCTTTGATGGCCTGTCAAGATCACGATCTGTCAAGCTGATCAAGGTACAAATCTGGCCAACAGCACGCCTCCAAAGCCTGCAGCCACGGCAATGTTCATTTTGATACTAAGCCGACACAAATCTTAATTCCATTCAGTTCCACACAATTTCAATTTGTTTAATATATGTATACATATATATATGTTATACATATAACATTGTATTATTGTACACGCATAGCATCTCATAGCTATGTAGATAAACCTAAATCGATCCGGAATCTGTTTCTTGCTCAGTGTGATTTCATGGTCTTACATCACACCAAGTGCATTGAGACACTTTTCTCAGTGGGAACTGGTAATAACAAACAAACGACATGCTCGGACGTGTCTTGTTGCATGCGCACACAATTCCTGGACATGCAGCATCTGACACTCCTGCCTTGCGTTGACGGTCTTCGCTTGCCCGTTCAAAGCTTGCAATTGCAGCACACAGCCGCTTCAAATCGATTTCGTCCTAGCGAAGTTGAATCCTTTGGGCACAAGCATTGTATCTTTCCATGCCCTCAGGCACTTAAAAAGAAGAGCACATGAGCACAAATGTAAAAAAGAAGAAAATGATGTCTCCAACAAATTGATGGATGAGATATCAACCAGGTAGTGAAACTCCAAGAAAACAATATTGTCCTTCAGCTTCTTTCTTCATAGATTCGCACGTGACCACTGAATACAGGTAGGTGAGTGGAACTTTTGATCAGGGAACGAGTGCCTCCGTTTCAAGTTTGGCAGGCGTAGATGACTTCCCAGTCTGCAAATCCTGCACCAGGATCATAAGCTCTCTAAGTTCAACGAACTGCTTGACACCACTAACAAATGGGATTTTCAACACTTCCTCCTTCATTGCCCTTGCGGCCTCTTCCTGCTCTGCCCGACAAAACACGAGCAGTGGGATCGGAAGGTTCCTTTGACATACTCTAATTGAACTCAATGGCCTTCAGTATAATATAGCATAATTGAACCCGCAATCTTTTTGAGAACTCACATCAGCACCTGAGGTACAAGACTGCAGACTCGCTTTGACGTCTTCTGTGGAGTCATCGGAACCTGCCAACTTGAGGGACACCGGCCCTGCATCCGGTGGCATCCTACGTCCAACGAAGGGTCAAAAACCATTGGATGATACTGAAGGGTCCTAGAACAACTACAAGTTGACATGAGCTGCCTACCGAGTGGTTTGGTCCCTACTGAAAGGGACGATCATTATTTTTCTTTGTTTCAATTGCTATCACATGGTATCGCCAAATAGCTGCAATAAGAAGCGGAGATCTGCTTTTCCAACCGTAAGAGCTGCTGTGCTTTCCCACGCAAGTTCGGATATGTGAGCAGTGTTGTAAAAAATCAAGGATAATCAAGTGTTAGGCAAGGTTCTTGGAAGTGTGAAAAGGAGTCAACCCTCCGAGCTGTTTCTAAGACGAGCACACCGAGCTCGAAGCTGCTGCTGGCCGGATATAGTGCCTTCAGAGTCTGCAAATACGACAGCACAGCATCATAGGCTCTCTAAGTTCAACAAACTCTGAGTTCTAGCGTAACAGGCAAAGCAAATAGACAGTTGGGATTCAGCGTAGCCCGCCAGAACCCAGTCTGGGAAATGCTAGTTCCAATTCCTGTTGCTGATGAAAGGAAGAGAGAAGCTAGAAAAGAGGAGGAAAAGGACGTGAAAATAGAAGGCGCGAAGAACAGAAGAAAGGGACACAGATGGAAGAAAAACGTAAAAACACAGGCTCACCTAAAGCACACTAATGAACATAGACAAATTCCAGTCAAACGCCAAAAGAAGCCTTAAGTTTTGGATTCAATAAGCTCCACCTTGTTTAAGCATATATTAACTATTATGGTGGTTGAACGAACTTCCATGGCCTTCCAGGTTCACTCACTGTCTTTCGACGTTCTTCTGGGCCTCATTTGGATCGGGGGCTTGAACAGCCTTATCGGCCATCGGTGGCTTCCTCAACGTGGCGCCGGAATGGTGTTCAAATCGGTCAAACCTTGAAGGAGATAATACCCGGCGGCAGGACAAGTCTGGCGATGGACGTGGTTCCACAGGTCTGCCTGTGATTGGGCAAATCTTGATTGGGCCTTGGGAAATACGTCTCACGTCTCAAAGCAAATCTCGCAAGCAAAAGGAATCTCAGCACTGAAAACCGCGTTTGAAAATCCTCGAGACAACGGTTCATGTTGAGCCCAAGTTGTGAGCAAACTTGGCGCCGGACGTCCATCCCAGGGAGTTGACGCGTCCCAAGGTTGAGTCTCTGGACGCCACATGCTATTGGCCTTTGAGGTCAAACACAC